TTTTAAAAAAAAAAAAAAGAATTTATATTAAAAGGCCGGCCCGTGGCTCACTTGGGAGAGTGCGGTGCTGATAACACCAAGGCCACGGGTTCGGATTCTATATAGGGATGGCCGGTTTGCTCACTGGGTGAGTGTGGTGCTGACAACACCAAGCCAAGGGTTGAGATCCCCTTACCGGTCATCTTTAAAAAAAAAAAAAAAAAAAAAAGAAGTTATATTAAAAACAACAATAAAAAATAAAGAATAGAAAATAAATGTAGGAAAGAAAAAAATTATATATTGAGGTCCTAACCCCTAGAACCTCAGAATGTGACCTGATTTAGAGATAGGGCCTTTAAAATGACATCATGAGGGAGGGCCTGGATCCAATATGACTGGTGTCCTTATAAAAAGGGGCAATTTGGATACAGACATGTGCACAAAGGGAGAACATCATATGAACATGAAGATGGAACAGATCCTTCCCTCACAGCCCACCTCCCCCACCTCTGCCCATATCTTGATCTTGGACTTCTGGCCTCCAGAACTGTGAGACAATCAATTTCTGTTGTTTAAATCACACAGTTTGTGGTACTTTGTTCCAGGAGTCCTAGCCAACTAATATGCACACACATATGTGCATCATAATTGGTAAAATCTAAGTAAGTTCTAAGGGTTGGACCAATGTCAATTTCCTGGTTTTGATTTTGTACCATAGTTATTAACAAGCAAAATATAACATTGGGGAGACTGGGTGAAGGGTACAAGGGACTTCCCCGTCCATTTCTTTGCACTTTCCTATGAATCTATCATTATTCCCAAAGAAAAAAGTTTAAAAAAGAAAACAACCATTAACTTGCTAAAAAATAACAAACATTAAAAGTCCTGGGGAAAAAAATCTTTTTCTTTCTTTTTTTGTGTCTGGCCAGAATGGGAATCTGAACCTGTGATCGTGGGGTTATGTCTGCGCTCTAACCACCTGAGCTAACTGGCTAGCCCCCACAGCCAATGGGAGCAGGGTGGGCTCTGAAACACACTGAGAAGAGAGGTGAGGGACTGTGAGGATGGGAGAGGACCAGGTAGGGTGGTGGGTTGAGGGACTAGGAGACTTTACCGGGCTGACACTGCAGCTCCAGGCACCGAGAGAAATTTCGGTGGGTGATCCAGGGCTTCAGAGTCATCAGCTGCTTGGAGGTGTCCTGCAGGAGGTGGGAGATGTTGGTCTGGACGAAGCGAAGACAGCTGGGGAGGGGCTGGGGGCAGGGGAGGGAGATGTCACCACCACATTACCCTCCAGCATATCCTCAGGCCAAGACCCTTCCCTGCTGCCAACGCCCAGCTGGAGGGCCTAGTGAGGCCTGGGTCTCAGAGATAGTTTAGACCCCACTGCCTCCCATTGCTAGGGGGAAGCTTCCTTAGCAACGTCCAGGGACAGGACCTGGTGAGCCTGGGTCTCAGAGAGAGTTTAGACCCTTAATGCCCATGGTTGCTAGGGGGAAGCGTCCTTAGCAATGCCCAGCAATAGACCCTAAGAAATCTGGGCCCCAGAACTGGGTTCAGACTCTTTACCATCCTCCAGTGCCTAGAGATGTGTTATTCCTCAGCAACAGAGCCCCTGGGGGATTGGGGTTCTAGCTCTACCTGGGTTGCTATGATCAGAAGAAATGTCCAGAAGGGCTTAGCAGAGCTTTACTTCCAATCCCTAGGAAGACATCTCACTCCCCTCACTTGTCCCCCAAGTTCAAAGCTGACCTGAAAGGCACATGTGGTGACAAAGTGTATCTCAGTGTTGACAGCCTCCAGCAGGACTTGCATCTGGGACCCAGCCACAGACTTGAGCTGTTCCATCCAGCGCTGGGCCAGGACCAGCCGCCAGAGGGCCCCGCAGAGCTCCTCCTGGGGAGAGACATCCCACCTGTGGGCCTGAGGGAGGAGGGGCTGGGGGCCTGGACTGCTGGGTCTAGGGAGGAGGGACCCAGTTGGCCAACTAGACTGGTCCCCGAAGGGTGGTGCATCTTGAGTCTGTGGTTCCTACCTCCATCCCAGGCCCCTCCTTTCTGTGACTCACCTCCTGCAGATTGGAGGCCACGGTGACAGGGTAATCTTGAAGCAGGTAGTCAGACTGTGGGAGAAAACAGGGTCAGGTCTGGCTAGAAATGGGGGGAAACAGAACTATGGCGACTCAGAGATGGAGGGAGAGACCCAGAGAAGGGAAACTCAGACCCAGCCACAGAACTTTGGCCTCAAAAAGGAACTGCAGGAGAGGTCCGAGGCAGGGACACTCACCAGCTTGCGGATGGTGACAGCAAAGTTGGAGGTGATGGGGCTGTGCTCAAAGTTGCAGTTCTGGGTCCCTCGAAGGCCGGGGCTCAGAAGCAGCAGCAGCAGCAGCAACAGCAAGGAGGTCTGTGGGGGTGGGTGAGTGGGTCTCTGGGACAGCCCTCTGCCAGCTTCATGAACAGCCCCTCCTCTGGGCTTCCCACCTCCACCTATCTCCCCTCCTCATTCTTTTCCAGGTATCTATCATTCCATCTCTTTCAGTTCTTCGCCCCTCGTCCATTCTGGTTCCCGTGTCCCCATCGCTGCCCCTCTTTCCCTATTCTCTCTGCCTCTTGTCCAGCACTCTCCATTTTCCATCCTCCTCTGCCACATCTCTCTGTCCTTGGCCAGTCTCTCTCGAACCACTTCAACACTCCCTCATTTCTGCTTACTTCTGCCCAGGTTCTTCTCAGCTCTGTCCTTCCCCTGCCCTTCTGTGCTCATGTCTCCTGTTTCTCCCTAGATCTTGGTGCTGTCCTCTCCATTTGTGCCCAGCTATGCCCACCTCCCCCACCTCTGTCCACCTCTGTCCACCTCCCCCACCTCTGTCCATCCCCCCACCTCTGTCCACCTCCCCACCTGTCCTTTCCCTCCCACACCTGTCCACCTCCCCAACTTCTGCCCATGTCCCTCCACCTATGTCTATGTCCCTCCACCTCTGTCCATCTCTCTTCTCAGCTCTGCCCCATCTTGACATTGTGTTCCTCTTTCTCCCCACCTTGTCCCCCAGGTATACGCACAGTTGGGCTCCAGGCTGGCGCCAGCACTATCATCTCGGCCGGGGGGCCCTCATGCCTGCGGCTGGGTCTTGGGAGGGACAGAAAAGCAAGCCTCGGACCCCCACACCGCAGCCCCTTCCTCGCCCGCCCCTTCACCTCCGCTCCCCTCCCTCGCTCCCTTGATGTGGTTAAGTTTCCGCCTCCTACTCCCCCAGGCTTCCTGCGTGAGCCCCAGTTACAGTGAAAACTCCTCATCTCCCCTTCCAAGAACCCCGACGTCCGGTCCCCAGAACCCTCCCCAGGTCGGGGACCCGGGAACCCGACCCCCACCCCCTGTTCTCTCAGCCACACAAGTGGGGACCCCGGTCCCGCCCCTCGGGGACCTGGAGTTCAACTCTCCTCACGCACCAGGCTTGCCCCAGCTGGGTGTGGAAGAGGCCAAGCCGGGTGACAGCCAGAGATCGAAAGTGAAAGGAAATTTTGGAGGGGAGACCGTGAGCAGGGGTGGAATCTGGGCCGAGGCGGCGCGCGCCCCCTGGTGGTGACAGGCTCACGCCGCAGACGGCGCCTTGGCGGGACTCTGCGCCTAGGAGGGATGAGGTTGGGTTGATTCCCGGCATATATCCTGCACGGTGAGCCGGGGCTCAATACGGGATCTGTCCGCGGGTAGAACCAAAGCACGCAGGACAAGCAGCAGGTCACCCTGAGCCTTTAAGCTTTGCTCTGAAGCCACCCCCTTCCACATCAAGGTAAGCGTTCGCACCATCCCCCCAGGTGCCCAGGCCAAAGCCTTGGAGTCCACTTTGGACTGCCTCTCACTGCCCACTGCAGTCCTGGCAGTCCAGTCCATCAGCAAATAGCTGACCCCACCTTCAGAATGCATCCAGAATCCAACCACTTCTCACCATTCCAGCTGCCACCACCGAGGTGCTGCTGCCACTGCCATCTCCTGCCTGGAACATCACTGTCACCTTCTCATTGGGCTCCCTGCCTTAGCCTTCAACCCCAATATGCAGCCAGAGGGAGCCTGTGAAGACGTAAGTCAGCTCACGTCCCTCCTGTGCTCCAAGCCCTCCCATGGCTCCCACCTCACGGGAATAAAAGTTCAGGTCCTCACCTTGGCCCACACTGGACCTGCAGGATCTAGGCCTGACCTCTCTCTGACCTCACCCCCTGCCCCTCTGCAATCCAGCCCCACCAGCCCTCCTTGTTGTGTCTTAGGCACACTCCTACCCCAGGGCCTTTGCACCAGCTGTTTCCTCAGCCTGGAATGTCCTTCCCCCAGATACACATGTGGCTCACCCTCATCTCATTCAGGTCTTTGCTCAAACACACAGGCAAAGACTTCCTGACACCCTTTTTTGAAATTGCACCCCATCCCAGCATTCCTCCTCATCACTGCTTTGTATTTATCCCCTTCTAATACACTATGCAGTTTACTTATCCTTTTTTTTTTTTTTTTTTACTTTTCTTCTTCATTTTTAGTTGTCTCCACTGGAACATCAGCTCCAGGAGGACTACAGTGGGTATCTGTTTGGACCCTGCTGAGTCTCCAGCACCTAGAACTATGTCTGGCATATAGCAGGTGCTCAAGAAATATTTGTGAAATGAATGAACAAATAGGTTCTTGACCACTTTCCTTCTTCATTATTGCTGTATAATAGAGAAAGCATCTGGACTTTGTCTCAGGTTTCTGGTAGATAACCTCTAAATCCCTGGAATTTCCTGAGAGACAGAAATGTCTTTGTTAGTCATCGGTCGTGACTGGCATCTCAACCACACCTGAGTTTATACTAAGAGGCAACTCAGGATGAGGACTGGTCATGCCAGGAAGACAAATTATGTGATTAGAGGGTTGGGGCTTTGAGCCAGGCTTACCAATCTCCAGGGTCGGGAGGGGGCTGGACACTGGGCTCAGTCACGTGACCATCATGAATCATGACTATGTAATGAAACCCCAATGAAAACTTTGGACACTGAAGCTCAGTGGAGCTCCTCTGTTGGTGAACACGTCAATATGATGTGCTCTGAAGCCATGGGGAAGAGGGCATGGAAACTGTATTTAGAGTCCTTCTAGACCTTACCCTATGTCTCTTCCTTTGGCTGGTCCTGATCTGTATCCTTTATAATAAAATGGTAATTGTACTTACAGCACTTTTCTGAGTTCTGTGTCATTTTAGCAAGTTACCCAAACCTAAAGATGTCATGAGGGCTGGCCTGGATGCAGTGGTGTTTACAACTAATTGATCACAACCAGTTACAGATTCCTTTCTTCTTTTTCCACTCCCACTGCTTCACCTGACTAGACTTAAAAAATAAAAGTCACGGGGGCCCCTGAATTTGTAGCCATTTGATCAGAAGTGCATGTGGCCTGGGGACCCCCAAACTTGTGCTGGCATCTGAAGTGAGGGCAATCTTGTAAGGGACTGTGCCCTTATCCTGTGGGGTCTGGGCTAACTCCAGGTAGGAAGAGTCAGAATTGGATTGTGGCACTGCAATGTTGAGTACTAACTATGGTGCCAGCTCAGCATGGGGGACCTAGAAGTGCACAAGAGGTACATTTCCTGCCTTTACAAAGGAAGCAGACACTGAATAAGTCATTGCAGAAACAATTATTGCATTGCAGTTGTATTGTGTGCCTTTAAAATGAAGGTGCTGATCAGAGCTGGCCTGGGCTCTCCAAGCCCCTCCAGGACAAAGCCCCTCAGCCTGGTTCAAGGCCCTGTATGGTCTGGTGTTGCTGCCTCTGCAGCCTCACTCTCATCATTCTTTTCTTTTTTTTTTTTTTAAAAGATGAACAGTAAGGGAATCTTAACCCTTGACTTGGTGTTGTCAGCTCCAAGCTTTCCCAAGTGATCTAACCGGCCATCCCTATACAGGGATCTGAACCCGTGGCCTTGGTGTTATCAGCACCACACTCTCCCGAGTGAGCCAAGGGCCGGCACTTCATCATTCTTTTCATTCCAGCAACTCTGAACTGGGTATAATTACTGTACTAGTTTCCTGTGGATGAGGTAAAAAATGATTACAAACTTGGTGGCTTAAAACAACAGAAATTTAATCTCTCACGGTTCCGAAGTCCAAAATCAAGGTGTCAGCACGGCCATACTCCCTCCAGAGGCTCGAGGGGAGGATCCTTCCTCACCTCTTCCAGCTTCTGGTGGCTCCAGGTGTTCCTTGGCTTGTGGCTGCAGAACTCCAATCTCTGCCTCCATCTTTTTTTTTTTATAATTGGTTATGAATTTTCATGGGGTACAAAGCTGACTGTCACCACTTGTGCCCAAGAAGTGATGGCCAGATCCATACTGGCAGCATGCCCATTCTGCCTCCATCTTTACATGGCTACCTCTTCTTCTCACTATGTCTTCTCCTCTGCATGTGTCTTAAGACACTTGTCGTTGGATTTAGGGCCCACCCAGATAATGCAGGATAATCTCATCTTGAGATCCTTAACTTAATTACATCTGCAGGTAACATTCACAGGTCCTGGGGGTTAGGACATGGACATATTTTTCTGGGGGCTACCATTCAGCCTACTACAGTTCCCCAAGGCTATTTCCCACCTCAGGGTCTTTGCACACGTTGTTCCTCCATGCTGTGATGCTCTTCCACCACACCCTTTCAAGCCTAACTGGATCTTCATCGTCCTTCAAGACTAAATGCAGATGGTACCTCCCTTGGGAAGATTCTCAGCACCATGCTCAGGCCTACCTCATGTACACACACCTAGGATGGGCAGGGTGCCTTCTCTGGGTCCCCAGAGTGCCCTGAGCTTCCTCTATTGCTATAGCACATGTCACCTTATATTCTGTCTGTGTGTCTTTCAACCCAGAGCTGAGCCCACGCCTCCTCTGCTCACAGTCCCTCTGTGACTCCTTAGTGCCTTCAGTGCAAAGCCCCAGCCCCTCTGCCTGGAGGTGGGGCTCAGCATTTGCTGACCCCGCCCACCCTCAGCTTAATTTTCCCTCCTTCCCCCCATACCAAAACCCTTGATAAAATCCCTATTCCCCAGCTGCAACTCCAGCTTGGGCTGGAGCCTCCTCTGGGCCCCCTGGTACCCTGTGTCCCCTGATGGATTTTCCTGGCACAGGCCGGGAGCTTGTTGCATTGCTGGGTCTGACCATCCTGAGCCTGTAGTTTTGCTTCACTAAGGCCTGGCACACAAAACTCATAGGATGTGTCTTGTCATATCAGATCTGGCAGGTGTCCCTCTAGCCCTGGCTTTGTCACTGTGAGCTTGGCCAGCCCCTGTCCTCTCTAAACCTCAGTTTCTTCAACTCCAAACTGGGGGGTGAGGGAGTAGATGAGACAAAATATAAGGTCCCATCCATATCTGTGGTTCTCTGAATCCCTTGCTAGTCCCATCCCACCCATGGCAGATTGTCCACAAATATCTGTTAGCCCTCCTCCCTGCAGGAGGATTCTAGGCCCTGCTCTGTGGAACTCAGGCAAGGTCATATGACTTGCTTTGACCAATGTCATGAGAGTAAAAGTGACAGGTGTCACTTCTGGGTGGAGCCTTATAAGGCTGGGGAATGGATCCACAATGGTGGAAGATGCATTGAGAAGGGATCTCTATCAGTCGAGTTCCATGTGTGACTTTGAGGATCAGAGGTACTCTGCCATCCCTTGATGAACAGGTAGTGTGAGTAAGAAACTCTCTTTGTGGTTGTAGGCCACAGAGATTTGGGGATTGTCTGCAAGTGCAGCAAAGCCTGGCCTAACCTGACTGTTACACCATCTACTTCTCTCCCCTGCTCCCTTCGCCTCACTTCTTGTTCAGCCTGGCTTAGCCTTCTTGTCAGACTGAATAGTCAGCTTTCTTGATTAGTCACTTGTTTTTAATATTGTCTCCTCTTGTGGTAGGCAGAATAACGGCCCCCAAAGATGTCCACATCCTAATCCCCAGAATTTATGAATATGTGACCTTACACAGCAAAAGGGACTTTGCAGATGAGATCAAGGATCTTAAGATGCGGAAATGATCCTGTATTATCCAGGTGGTCCCAATGTCATCACTAGGATCCTTATAAGTGGAAAAGGGAGGTGGGAGGCTCAGAGTCAAAGAGATGTGTCAATAGAAGAATCAGAGTGAGGCCATGTGAAAGATTTGACTGGCCATTGCTGGCTTTGAAGATGGACCTAGGGGCTTGAGCCAAGGGATGCCAGGCGCCTGTACAAGCTGGAAAAGACAAGAGATGGATTTTCCCCTAGCATTTCCGGAAAGGAATGCAGCCCTGCCTTGATTTTAGCTCAATGAGACACATTTCAGACTTCTGACCTCCAGAACTGTAAGATAATAAAAACTTGCCATTTTATCTAAATCACTAAGTTTGTGGTAATGTGAATGAATACAACTTTCAGCCACTAGAACATCAACTTCAAGAGGCAAGGTTCCATCTTGTTTATAGCTGTATCCCCCAGTACGTAGAACAGTGCTTAACTCATAGTAAGCACTCAGCCAATGTTTGTTGGCTGACTGGATGGTTGACTAGATTAAGAAATCTTGCCCCTTGGCCAGTGATGATTGGACCAGGAGTGGACACCTGCCCCAGGTTGGCTAATCGGATTTTCTTTCCTGGAGACTGGGCTGGTGGTACGTAAACCTGCTGCAGTTGGTTCTGTCTGGTTAAAACATCAGGAGTATTAATGGGAAGGACCCCGAGGCAGCCCACTTAATCCAGGAGGGAGGTGCCAAAGCACAACAGGAACGAAAACCTTCCAGGGACTTTCCTACAACTCTTCCTTCCCACTCCAGCGCCCCTCTTGTCCGAATGTCCAAATCCTGGGAGAGCTACTCTACTCTGCCCAACCTTAGTTAAATACTGACAAGAGGTTGCCTATTCTCATATGGAGGTGGGGAGAGTGCATCCTAGGAGAAAGATTTTGACCAGCAGCCAGCCCAGCTCAAAACCAAACTCTAGCTAATAATAACAATCATTAAGCATGTCCTGGGTACCCATCATTGAGTCAACTCAATGAGGTTGAAACTTTGAGCCCCATTTTATTTTTTTGGCGACTAGCTGGTAAGGACATTTGAACCCTGGACCTTGGTGTTATAACACCACACTCTAATCAGCTGAGCTAACCAGCCAGCACAGAGCCCCATTTTACAGTTGAGGAAACTGAGGTTTGGAGAGGTTATGAAGCTCTCCTAAGGTCACATAAGTAGAAAACTTTGAATGAAGCACAGAGACAGAGAAATAAGACCTGTGCTGAGAACACCAAGATCAAGGGTCACATCCCTGTACCAGCCAACCACCACAAATAAATAAATTTAAAAAAAAGAAAAAGAGAGAGAGATACAAGACCTAAGAGATCATGTGGCCACAGAAAAAGGAACTGCCCTGGCTGCTGCCTGCTGCTGCTGTGTCTTGTAAGGTATCTTTGTGGCCTTCCAGAAAATTCCCTTTAATCCTAAGCTGTCATGAATGGGTTTCTTGCACCAAAAATAATGCTGCTGTGTCTTGTAAGGTATCTTTGTGGCCTTCCAGAAAATTCCCTTTAATCCTAAGCTGGCATGAATGGGTTTCTTGCACCAAAAATAATTCTAGGGCCGGCCCGGTGGCGCACTGCTACAGTGTGCCGCTTGGGAGCGCGGTGGCGCTCNATGCTGACAACAGCAAGTCAAGGATTAAGATCCCCTTACCGATCATCTTTTTAAAACAAACAAACAAACAAACTAACCAACTAACTAACTAACTAACTAACTAACTAACTAACTAACTAACTAACTACAAGAGCTGGAAGTCCCTGGGCTCCTGAGCCGGGGTGGGGGTGTTGGATGGGAAGGTCTCAGCCACACCTTCCTATCCCACCCTCTGCAACCAGGCCAGCAAAGGAGCTGGCTGTGGGTTAGCCCTGCCCCCCATCCCCAACTCTGTCCCCTTACCCTCCCTCCCTCTCCCCCTCCACTGCTCCACAACATCATCTTAGAATATAAGAAAAAAATAAAAATAATTAAATTTAAAAAAAATTCAGGAATTCTCTCGGCCAGTTGTTGAACTCGGACACAACGTGAGCATTTACACCACAGAAATTGGTAAAAGTTACCTAGCAAGGCTTTTATATTATTCCAGAGAGCTGAGTTACCAGCCACACCCCAGACTCCGAGGCAATGCATAGGCAGAGAAAACCAAAGAGCTGGGCCGGCCCGGTGGCGCACTGCTATAGTGCGCCGCTTGGGAAGCGCGGCAGGCGCGCCC